TATATATATATATATATATATATATATATATATATATATATATCTTAGGTTTATATTTCTTATAAACCTAGTAAAATAATCTTATTTTACGGTGTTTATTCAGTCAATTTATTTAGTAAATTTGAAATAATCAAATTAAATGGGAAGTAAAGTCAATGCAAAAGCACTTGCATTAAAAATAAAGTAAAATACCAATTTATTAAAAGAAAAGAAAAATGTATTAAAACAAAATAATAATAATAATAATAATAATAATAATAATAATATTAAAAGAAAATAGTAAAAGAAAAGAAAAGAAAAGAATACATTTAAATATAATAAAATAATACGAATTATAAAATAATATATTTGAACTGATCAAATTAGGTTGGAAGGTGATAAAAGTCAATGCAAAAGCATATTCATTAAAAATAAAATAAATTATGCATATAAGAATGTCTAAATAATAAAAATGTAAATAAGTAATGCAAATAAAAATAAGTAATAATGAAATAAAAAAATAAATGCTTACATATAATTAAAAGCACGTGAATTAAATATATTATAAAATAAATAATTAAAAAGTAAATCGTAATAAAATAAAATAAAAATGTACAAAATGTAATAATATCAAAAGCACATGCATTAAAATAAAATAAAATAATGCATATAAAATTGAATAAATAAAATATGACATAATTAAAAGCACATGAATTAAAAATAAAACAATATAATGCATATATAAATGAACAAATAATAAAAAGTAAACATATAATGCATATAAAAAATAAACAATAAAACTAAATAATTAACAAAAATACCATAATTAAAAGCACATGCATTATAATAAAAGAAAATTATGCATATAAAAATTGATAGTATTAAAAATTCTTATAAATAATGCATATAAATAAATAATAATAAACAAAAAAATAATTAATAAAACATAAAAAAATAAAAGCACATACATTAAAAATAAATAATGCGTAAAAATATTAATAAATAATAACAAACAAATAAATATTATACATATAAAAAAAATAATAATCAAATAAAATAAAATAATTGTTAAACAAATTAATAGTACATGCATTATTAATAAAATAATGCATATAAAAAGTAAATAAATAATACATATAAAATAAATAATTATAAATTAAACTAAATTATTGAAATACAATATAATTAAAAGTACATGCGTTTAAATAAAAGATTGCATAAAAATAATAAAATGTTAAACAAAAAATAAATAATAAAATATAATTAAAGCATATGCATTAAAACTGAAATAAAATATTGCATATAAAAATGTATAAATAATAAAAAAGTAAATAAAATGCATATAAAAATAAATAATGATAAAATAAAAAAGCATTAATATAATATAATTGAAAGCACATGCAATAAAATAAAATAATGAATGTTAAAATTTTAATAGACTGTTAAAAAAAACAATAAAATAAAATAGAATTAGCCTTTTAGTCATGTTTGTCTGCAGCATTGCTCTAAGATTTTTTTTTTTTTTTTCACAGAGGCTCACAAGACATAGTCTAGGCTAGTTACCAAGGAGAAATTGATTTAATTCGACTCATTTAAAATGACTACAATAAATACCCCAAACTAATTAAACTAATAAAAATACAACAAAAACAATTACAGAAAATAAAATGGAAATATAACTCTTAAACCATTCAATACTGTAATACTGTCTTTACATTATGCAGTAAATATGACAATAATAACAGTGTATATGACACAAACAAAGCTAGATATAACACAGCATGGTTTGATTATTATTACTGCAGGGTTATCCTTACTTACAGCTGTTTGTGTAGGTTGAAATGAAGAGAAATGTGAGTGCTGATGTTTGTGTGTGTGTTTTCTGTGTTCAGATAAAGCGCTGGTTTTATGTGGAGAGCGAGAGACATTTGGCTCCTCTGGACTCGTTCTCGCTCTCTCTGAGCTCCATTCAGGACATGAGCAAGAGTCTGGAGCTCTTCATGCAGGAGGCCCGCGTGAGTGTTCAGGAAATCACACTGAAAGAGTTTGTGTTTAGACTAGGGATGGGAAGATTAATCGATATGTATCGATACGCGGTCATGCGCGTGCACGATGCGAGTGCATCGGTAGAGCAGCAGAGGATGAATGAAATTTTGGAAGCAAATCGAGATGCATCGGTTTTTGCGAGATGCATCGATTTTTCCGAGATACAGCTTATATTTTTAATATAGAATGTATTTTTTATTTATTAACAAGTGTTGTCAACCTGTTTTTGGCGCATAATTTAATCGACCTACATAAAGTAAGCCTTAGCAACGGATTTGCGGATGTGTACACTTACACTACAACTCAGTGTATCAGGTGTGCGGATGAAGCTAGTGGTGCGCCCTCAGAAAGCGCGAGAAGCAAAACAAACATTTTATTCCCCACTGAGTTTTAAATCTAAAGTATGGCAACATTATGGATTTAAGGATGGACGACATGACAGGACAGATGCAATTTGCAAAATGTGCCGCGCATCTGTAAAATACGCGGGCAGTACGACTAATCTGAAATCTCACTTGAAGCGGCGCCACGGTGTTGTTGTGAAAGCATCTTCCAGTGTTCCTGCATCCCCGGCTTTCGCACTGCTTCAACCAGCTCCAAAAGTGGTGAGAAAAGCATTGAAAGTTTTTTTTTCCATGCGCAACAGTTCTGCTCGCTCTACGCCAATAACGAATGCTATTGCATTGTTCATCTGCAAAGATATTCAGCCTAGTGTCACGGAGAACGAAGGTTTTAAACACCTCCTCCTGTTAATTTTTATTTAATTATAATAATAATAATAATATTAATAATAATAATGATAAAAATAATGGGTGTCACGGTGGCACAGTGAGTAGTTTGACCACCTCACAGCAAGAAGATTGCTGGTTTGTTATATTTTTATTAGCCTGTTGTTTACAGTGACAGTGATGTTTCAAAGCAGCATAACACTGCTAGTTCACCACCTTAAGTTTTGAATAATCAGTGGCAAAATATATCTTTGTAAAACTTGTTTTCATAGTTGAAAAGTTAAATCACAATTCTTGTTGTGCAATGCTAAATTTATTTATGTTGAAAGAGTGCAAATATATACATATTTTTTTAATATATATTGCACTTATACATTCTGTTTATCTTGAAAATGCTTAAATAATATGTGCTATATGTTCTAAAATGGCCCTCTACTGTAAACTGACACTCTGGCTCTGAGAGAAGAGCCAGTTTGTAAAAAAAAGTCTTGGTTTTGCTTGGTTTATAAATAATCAAACTCATTCAATGGCACAGCATCCTCTTTCACATCATCTCATAAACTTGATCTAATTAGTTAGTGCTGAAATATCGCATCGTATCGTGATATGGGTGTGAATCGTATCGTGTTGCATCGCAATATGTCACAAATGTATCGCTAATATATCGGATCGTATTCTTTGTATCGAGATGCGTATCGGATCGGCATTATAGCTTAGATGCCCAACCCTAGTTTAGACTAGAGATGCCCAAACTGGGGCACTCGGGCTAAAGTTGGCCAATGCTAACCTTTGATTTGGCCTGACATCCCATCTGAGAGGAGTGGGAGAATAATGGGGAGAGTTTCCAGATTGTCAATTTCAACTGAATGTAACCGTTTTTGTTTGTTTGTTTGTTTGTTTGTTTATATAGAAAGCTATATTTATACACTTTGTCATGCTTTTTTATACTCTTTAAAAAGTTTATATTTGCTTTTATTTTCTATTGCATAACTTCTATTTCTCCACATTTAGATTCTTATTGTTGTTGTTATTATTATTGTTATTGGTCACGAGTGATTGTGTAAGCATTTCAGTGCATATCATAC